CGCCAGGTGTGCAGCAGCTTCTACCTTCCGGGGAGCGCCCGCGACGCCGCACGGAGTCACCGCGGAGTCAACCGGAGCGGAACACTTCCCCGCCTCACTTCCCTCTTCCCCGCTTCGCCAGCCGGCGCGCGGGCGCTTGCTGCCTCCCCCACCACGAGGTGCCGCAATACCGTCACTGCGTCATCCATAGCACCCGTCAATCACTACCAACCGCAGTTCAAACGTGCGTTACGTTTTTCAAAGAAGCGAAATAATTTAGAAAATGCCCGTTTGGAAAAGTTTGACCGCGAGGCGAACCGCAAAGACTCGACGAAGGTTCCACTAATTATCGAGCTGCAAGTCGGTCCGCGCGCGTGCCGCCAGAGGGCAGGTGCGAGCCCGGGCCGGACGCGGTGCGCACTCTCAGCTGCCTTTTTCATCAAAATCCGACGCGACATGTTATTATAATTTTGATCCTCACGCCGAGATAACTCTTTCGGAACGCGTGCAGGCAAAGCAAAGCAGCGGCCATATACCACCTCCCTTTTTGGCGCGCTCGGCTTGAAATGAGAGGACCGAAAGGTTAAAAGGAAGCGGGAGAGGAGAGAGGGGGGGTCGTTAAATTAAGGCGGTAGGACTGTCATCACGGTGGTGCAGCTGGAGAAAGGTGAAAAGGAGGGAAAAGAAAAATAGTGCAAAAAGGAAAACGAGTCGGAGGCGTCCTACTTGCACCCCTTTTTTCTGTAACCCTTAGGGCTAGCCTTAGTGGGATATAAGGTCGTTTTTTATTTTACTCTTCTCATACTACCCCTTTTTTTCTGTGTCGACCTATTTCTTTCTCCCTCTCTCGTACGAAGAACATGACTTATATCTTGCCGGTTAAGAAAAAGCCACGTAAAATCGCTGCTTTTATAGTCGCTAGTTAAAAACGGAGCGTGGAGCGATGCATACGGCCCGACGTCACAGAAAGTTTTTTTTTGCATGACATTTCACTTTTTCTGTAGTCCGTAAGAAAAAAAACAAAAAAAAAACGGCATGCACGCGTGAGACTCAACCCGTTAGCCAGGGATCCCAGCCCACAAAACAACAACCTTATGACAATTTTACCTAAGATAAAAAAAAGAAGAAAAAAACGTGCAGAGTAAAAACGAACCCAAAGAACACAGAAAAACAAACACAACCCCCGTACCGCGAGCGCCCCCCAAACGCGTGGCTAATTCCACGGCGATTCGATCAGTCCTGCCTGTTCCGTCATTAGCGCATCCCGACTAATCGACTCGCGATGCAACCCCTTCCCATTTCACGTACACCGGTTTACACTTTGCAGCTCCGTCACAGAAAAAAAAAAAAAAAACTTTTGACAAACCGCGGCTCTGGCTGCTGCACCAAATGCTGCGGCTGTGCGACCCCGGTCACGCGGTGCGACCGACGCCTTCCGACGGAAATAAATGATGAGTTCTACAAGGAAGGCGCTGCCTTATTACAAGGCGGTGGATCGCCGCACGTGCCCGCCATCATTTATAACAGCCAGAGAGTGCATTTGCACTTTTGCACGCTGTCGGAGCGGGAGAGTGAGCGAGACAGAGCGAGGGACGGAGGGAGAGAGAGAGAGAGAGAGAGTGTCGGAGAGACGGATCGTCGCGTGGCCATCTCGCCGATCACCTCCCGTATTGATGAATGAACGAACGGGTTGACGCGCGCACGCGATACGGAGCAGCAGAGGTCCGGAGGAGCGACGGATTTACAGGCAATTTTTGTCACTCAAATAGTCTTTCGCGAAACGTGATATATATGGATCGTGTATAGGGTCGGGTCCGGGTCGGCTCCCAATAATGGTGGTAAGGTTACGATAGGATTCGAAAACGGAATGCACTGTTAAGGAAGGAAGTAATAGCTGCAGTTGACAATACGGAATCATTTGTGCGCATGACTTTATTATAGGCACGTTTCGAGGTCAGATAAATTCAGTTTAGATAGAAGGCGTTCCTTTTCTACTTCCCTACACATTTTTTTCCCATTCAAAAAGGGGGCACGAATCAATGCAGGCGAAGTCTACAAGGACCTTGATGCAATGTACGTTTTGTATCACATTAGGCCGGGTACAGGGACGGTACGAACAAAAAACAAATGCGAGAAACATTCAGGGGCGTTGATGGGAAAGGGGCGAGTTTGTTGAACCCTTTACCGTCGAAAAGAGAAGGGGAATTGGAACCACACAGTGCAT